CCTACCATGCCCACACTCAGGCCATTGTTCCCTGGGAAAGGGAGCACTTCTGAGGCCTTCTCAGGCTTAGTTCTCTCACCTACTGTCACAGGAATGTCTCCCTACCACATTCTGGGCCTCTAGGATGTCTTTTTGTCTCCCTACCACATCCAGGGCCTCTAGGCTCTCTTCAGACAGCACACCATTTCCTGAGTTCAGTGAGAAAACACTTGGGGAAGTCTCCTTCTTTCCCTTATTCTTAGGCTTAGAAATTTAGCCAACTGCCTGAAGATGTAGGAGGAAAGAGTCTGACTATAGCCCTGGGGATGAGCTGATAGCAGACACTGCACAGAGTGAAGAGTACACAGTTTATTCAGGTAAGCTTTCTTCCTCTACAAATAAATCTTTTAGGACATTCTGACGTATAAATAAACATAACCAAAACAGTCTGGCAACCTATGGCACTGTGTTGCCCATGTCCCTCCTCAGCTCCCTTGGCAGAGCCTCTGGTGAGCTCTGTATATCTTCAGGGGTTCTCCACACAGTCTGGCCATCTGCCAACAAAAGGGGAACATACATCTGGGTATAAAATGCTACTGCTAATGCTTCAGTCTGGTACTTTTTTACCTCACCATGACCTTCTCTCTGGTTTTCTAAGAAGAAACCTGGGCCTTACTCAGTCACAGAGAGCCTAATCAAGAGGTTGCCTAATGGAAAAGTCCCCTGTTGCTCCTCAGGCCCCCACCACCTCTATCTCTGCAGCCACCCGGGCCTTCCCTGGGAAATTCCTTCTTCTCCAGCACAGACTTGATCTTCCTCTCTTCCCTCTCTTCCAGCCCCTCCTTCTGCCCAGCTGCTTTCCACATACTTTCTTCTTGGCCCCTTGACCTCTCTCACTGCTATGCTCTTCACCCAAGGATGGTGGTCCTATCTTCCCAACTGCACAAAGCAACAGAAATCTGTTCCATTGTACTCGCAACTACTCCAGTCAAGATTTGTTCCAACCAGTAAAATGTGTCTTTCTTCCTGATGAGTTTTCTGAATTAAATGTTCTACATATGGAAGCCCAGAGCTGCTGCCCAAGTGATTTTGCATCTAATAATTTAAAACTATAAATTAATCCCATTAGCAGTTTTTTTGAACCAGAAATGTCTTAATGAGGTAATGCCATTTTTCAGAGACTACATTTAAAAATATATTTGAATAGAACTGAACACTTTTCAAAGGATGTGTTTCCTCAGATCTTCGTATCTAGAAAATGTAGACTATTGATGTGTATTTGAGGCGTACTTAGTTTCTTCATTTAGCTCTGCCTACTTTATCACCCTCACTAAAATAACAAGAAAAATAATCCTAGATTTTGAGTCTTTACATGTTTAGACATGGTTCTTGTCTTGACTGCCACTGCAAAATTTGTGTGACTTTGACAAGTCCCTGGTCTATTTTCTCTACTGTAAAACAGGCTGAATAATGCACTCCTCCCAGCCATGTTTAGGTGGCTTTAGTAGGTGCAAGAGTATAACACCAACAGCATTGTACTGTTTCCAGTTGGACCAGAAAGTGGGTCCTAGGGCTGATGCCTTCATAAATATCGTGTGCTCCTTTCCAACCGGGTTCTCTCCCAGCGGATGCGTGCAGTTGGCACTGGCACTGTGTTTAATGTGACATTCTCAAAAATGTGTCCTCCAGTGTGTGCAGGAACCTCGCCTGCCACAGAAGAGAGCGACCCAGATCCTGTGATTAAGCAAAGGAAAGAGGAAGGACGAGGTCTTCTTTCTGAAGGGTTTTGTTTATAAATCTCCTCGTGGCTCATTTACTTTTTCCATGAAAAACTTTTTGTCCTTTTGTCTTCTGCCACTGGCCCTGGTTATGGACTGGGCGTTGATGTGAATGCAGTTTCCAAATTGGAAATTAATGAGGTGTTCCATCCAGAGAGGCCTTCCTTCTGTGCTCTGAGGCTGGCTGCTCCTGGGGTCACCTCTGCTTGGATCTTTGCTTTCCTTCAGCCTCTCTTCTGCCCCTGCACCCCTCACACACACCCCAAAGATGGTTTTAAACCTGGGTTTTCTGGCCTGGGAATTATTCTGGTGCCTGTGAGGTGTGACTCCCAGAAGCAAAGGAATTTTAAGGTAAGGTAGGTTCTGCTGCCAGAGGCCCCATCACTGGCAGGAAGCTCCTCTTCAAGCTTCCACCTCATAAACTTTGTATGTTTAAAAAGGAAGCTGGGGCCCAGCCTTGGTGGCCAGCTGTGCTGGAATTGGTGGTAATAAGCTGAACTGTAGTGCTGGATGCCACATGGATGACCACAGGTTTGGATCCCTGGAACACACTAGAACAACCTAGATCGATTGATTGATCTCTCTCTCTCCCGGTACATATGTGTGTGTGTGTGTGTGTGTGTGTGTGTGTGCGTGTGTGTGTGAGATGCATGTGCATGGACTCTCTGTCATGAATGAAAAAGGTTGGGAAAGATTTTCCAGGATGCAGGCATTGAGGACTGCAGCTGAAGTTAGGGGAAAGAGCTATAGGAAACTGACCATCAGAACCGTCTCCCTGATTCGGTGGTGTCCGTGTGTACTGTTAGGAAGGGATCCATCTTGACAGATAAGGAAACGAAGGAGCAAAGGGGCCTATTAGGGGAAAGAGTGGCTCAAACAACCTGCCATGTGCTGTCAACCTGGGAGGGGAGCAGGCCGTGACAAGTAGTGCAGGCTCCTGATGCTGGCAGGTGACAGGTACTCACTTTTAGAACTCCGCAGGATGCCCTGGCTCAGCAATCAGAGGGTGTGGAGGGAGCAACATGACATACAGAGATGAGATATGGGGGCTTGGGACTGGGAGGGTGTAGGAAGCTTGCGGAACTTGCTGCAAAACTTTGCGCATACCCTGAGGGAAGGTCCCAGAGTTTTCATTAGGTTTTTTCTTTTTAAAGAATTACTTTATTTAATTTTATTTATTTTAATTTGACCAGAGAGGGGCAGAGTAAGAGAGAGAGAGAGAAAGCAAGAAAGCAAGCTGCCAGGTCTGGCACTCAAATCACAATCGGCCATGTGGGAGTCAGTGCCCTTAACCACCACACCACTTGTCGGCCCCATAGATTTTTTTTTTTTAAAGATTTCTTGCATGAAAAAGAAAGAGACTCCTGGCAGGATCTTACCATATTGCAATTCCTCCTACCTAGCCGTCTAGTCAGCTGAGATCACAGGCACACCCACAGCATGCCTGGCTTGTTCACGTCAACCCAGGGATCCGAACCCTGGGCCTCCCATATGACTCCAGCATTGTGCAGCAGCTCCCTGCTGGCTATGCCACCATGACTGGGCCTGCATTAGATTTGTAAAGCAGATCTTGACCCACCATTGAAACAGATGCCCACTCAGGGTATAATGGTTGCCCAACATGCAAGTGTCCTCTAGGGAAAAGGGACATTAACCCCAGGAGACCACATCCCCTGGAACCTGGTTGCCAGAGGGAATCTGCAAAGCCACCTGCAAGGTGTAGAGAAGAGGAGCTGGTAGAGTGGAAGCCGATGTTCCTGAACTTGCCAAAGACATACGCACGGAAGGAAGCACGACTGGGTTTGGAATGCAGCAGCGAACAGGAAATGAGCTAAATCTCCAGGGGAACAGTTGGAGACCACAGGAATGCATAGGTCATGGTCCTGCCATTCCAGAGGTTGGACTGAGCAGCTCTGTTTAGGAAATGTGGATGTGCTAGGAGAATGAGCCTGGCTGAGCCTGAGCGGGCCCAGGAGACCCACCACAGCACCCGCACCACAGCACCCCCACCGGGCTGTTGGATGTCACCTGGCTGGCTGTGCAGTGCCCCAGCTGCAGCACACACACGTGCTTCCTGGGACACACTCAGGATGCTCAGGACCCGTGTGCCAGCGGAGGAGACTCACGAGCACATTCTTTGAATCCCTTATACTTTTGGATAGGGATAATTCTTAGAATTATCTGGAAACTATCATTTTGGCATTTCTTAAAAGAAAAATTAAAGTCTGATATTTCTGATTCAAGACTTTTTATAAGACTATTTTTACTGAATCAAAAAAATAAAAAATTGGGTGGTCAGACAGTGGCATAGCGGTAAAATGACACTCTGGAAGGTGGAGCCACATGAAAGGTCACCTCACATGCAGAGCCTCCCTGCGTATGCCAGGTGTCGTGTGTCCATGATCCAGGTTGGCGGGGGCTGGGGGAGCTCTAAGTGTCAAGAGCCTGTCAGAGGTGCTGTGTCTCTCCATCTCTCTGTCTCTCCCTGTCACTCATGGAATATTTTTGGGGGAGAGGCTTTTGCTATAGGGCATGTGCGCTCACCAGAAAGACAGAATGAGACAGAGAGACAGAAAGCGAGAAAACACCCCCCAGGGCGGATGGCCACACCGCAATCCCTTCTCCTCCATTCTCCTCTCAGGATCCTGGGCATGCACGCACACGTGCCTGGCATGAGTTTAAGCCACCAGGTCTGGGACTCGAACCGCAGTCGACTACATGGGAGTCCAGTGACATAGCCATTAGGCCAACTGCTGGTCCCTGGAATAATTGTTTTAAGTCAGCAGTTGCTCTCGTTTTCCCCTGTGCTTTCTGTTCCCAACACTCAGTCGACTCTCCCGAGCCACAGCCCTATGGACCCTTTACCAGTCCATAGGGTCCTCGGTCCCGTCTTCGGCTGCTGCCCCTTCTTTTCTCCTCCAGTTTTGACATTGACAACCACTCACCCAAACTAATGGAAAAGCCTTCTGGGGCCTTTACTTCAAGTCCCTAGCTGGCCTTGCCTGTGCCACTGGTGCATGGGGCCATCCAGAGACCTCCTGTGCCTACTGAAGCCAGCCCGGGGCTGGCAGATCTAAACTCCCTGAGGGCAACAGCTTCTGAGTCTGGTTCCACATGCCTCCCCCAGAGCCTGGCACCGTCTGAACACAGGGTCGGGCTCAGTAAGCCTTTGTGGAGTGTGTGGGTGAAGGAAGCAAAGCCTGGAAAGAGCTCTCCTCACAGCCCCACCCTCTGTCCTTGCAGATCCTTGCTGAGTGGTTTGGCCGGACCATCATTCACTCCTGCGCCAAACTGAGCTACGAGCATGCACAGAGCATGATTGACAGCCCGACAGAGACGGTCCCTGAGGAGGAGCTGCCCGCCATTTCTCCAGAGCACAGCAGCAAGGAGGTCCACCAGGCTGTACTGAATCTCCACAGAATCGCGAAGCAGCTACGCCGACAGCGCTTTGTGGATGGTGCGCTTCGTTTGGATCAGGTCAGTGTTTCCATGTTTTGTTTTGTTTCTTCAATGCAACCTGCACATTTGACACGTGTCTGGACCCCATGTGGGTGAGAGGCAGCAGGGCCATCCTGGGCTACCTGCCTTCTCCTTCCCGAGCAACTCCACTAAGACAGTGTTCTCTGTGGCTGGCGGAGCTCATACCCCTGCCTCCAAACTCCACCGGCCCACGTGGCCTCATGACTGGAGCCAAGGCACAGGGATGGTGTCTGAGCAGGTGGCTCTGTGACCAGAACCCCAGATGGTCTTCCCTGGTAAGGCTGTGTCTGGCATGGGACCCTCATCTCGGCTTTCTGCCTCAAATCCCTTTCAATGGAAGCTGGAACAGGAGAGTAGAGAACTTTGGAGGTAGCTGGCCAGTGTCTAATCTGAAGGCTGAAAAGAAAAAGTACTTCTTCTTATCTCTCTCTCTCTCTTTTTTTTTTTTTTTGAGAGGTTTTTGGCTATAGGGTGCATGCGCTTGCCAGAAAGACAGAGAGAGACAGAGAGACAGAAAGTGAGAAATCCTCCCCAGGGGGGATGGCCACGCCGCAATCCCTTCTCCTCCATTCTCTTCTCGGGATCTTGGGCACGCACGCACACGTGCCCGGCGTGAGTTTAAGCCATCGGGTCTGGGACGCGAACCGCGGTCGACTACGTGGGAGTCCAGTGACATAGCCATTACACTAACTGCTGGTCCTGAAAAGTTATTTCTTTACAAATTCCAGATTGTATATGAAGAAGCAGAAAACATTGGCTGTTGAAGACAGTGGGGCCTAGATATCACTGCCACATTAGTGGCCTCCTGGGACTTGGGCAGTTGTCACTTAACCGAATGACTTTCCATCTCTGAGAGTCAGCCGTTGTTAGGATGCAGGCCTTCATCCTTCAGTGCTTACCAGCACATTGTGGACTGGAGCCTGCGTTTTGTGTCACAGGACATGTTTTGTTGTTGTTATGTCTTAACCCAGACTCTCCTTGCCCAGCGTTGTGTGTTGGTTCGGGAGGTCCTTCATGTGAGCAGTGGCCTGCTGCTGGGATCGCCCGTGGGACTCTCAGACTACTGGCATAGCTCTCTTTCAGAGACTTCTTTCTCTGAGCCCTTCAGCTGGGAGAGATCTGAAAGGCCTTATTTTAGAGCTTCCTAATTGATGTTCTGGCTTCACCCTACCTTTTGCAACGAACTTGTGCAAATGCTCCTTAGCAGACAATGCCAGTGGTGCAGTCCTTGCCTAGCCTTGGGCCTAGGAGTAAGTTAGCTGCTCTGGAACCAGTGAGTACTCTGTCCTGCCTGGGCCTAGCAGAACCTGCGTACCTTCTAGAGCTCCCCTCGCCCAGCCTCAGGCCCTCTGCGTGAGAATGCCG